ATTTCCATAGAGAAAATTGTCCGGAACGCATCACGGAAAACACAAGAAACATTTGAAAGCAAGGACCAAACGAGAAACAGGGACTATGAACGGCATGGGGACGAAGAATTCACTTCGTTATCCACCGACACCGCGTGGATGTACATACGTACTACCAAATACATAATAAAGCGATTTACGTTCCCCTTTTTCTTCGAAGAAGTGCCAAAAGTCTCCTGTCTGACCAACAAATTGACATGCGACAAGATAAACTATGCAATACGTATACAATTTAGACGAAACTGCATATTACGATAGAGAAGATATAAATGAGTTCTGAAGAATTATAGCTGTTACGCGTTGCACACCATAAACATCTACAGTTAGAGTCTTATACGCACGGAAGATCTTCAGAAATAACTTCCCTAATTTTATATTTTTTCTGCCCGATCACAACAAAACTGTTATCGAACAAAACTTTCTTTCACACATTGTACACAGTTATTTCCCTTTTTAATCTCTTCGTCAGAAGGTTCGACATTTGGTCGACAGCCGTTTGTTTTCTACTAGCAAAATTCGGAACAAAAGGGTCATAAACCAATACCCTTCGAGTACGCGCGCAGTTTCCGCCCGGTCGAGTCGAACCTTGAGCGGCCAACGTTTGCACATGTACACGTCACCCTGAGGGAGACATTTTCTTCTTCCGTGACGTCTTGGAAAATCCAACGGATTTCTCCTCTTTCACGGCAACCAATCAGTGAACAGCATTTTTAGCAACCGCCTTCATCCTTCAGCCAATCAGGAAAAACGTATATTTTCATGGTTTTTTCATTTCCATTTCACAATCAGTCAAGCAGAATCAGCTAAACAGACAACATCTTGCACTTTGTGTTCACTTGGAGTTCGGAATCCGGAATAATCACACAACTTGTACCACTTATCATATTTCATCATCTTTATTCATTTCTTAATAGTGTATCAAAATGTGTTTTGTTATCTGTTACCCTTAAATCCATACACAGGCGAGATACATATACAAGGACTGAAGCGCGTATAATTCAATAACGCAATTTCCGAGCGCTTCAAGTAAGTAACTACAAGTCGAAACTTCAAACTGTTATATCTCATCATGGAAATATCCGACAAAAAAATGTTTCGAACAAAATTTACTTGTTTTTTCCTGTAGAATCTAAATATGTAACGTTTTATAGGGGGTTCTATGTAAAATTATAAAGGTACCCTGCCCCCCCTTAAAGGGGAAGGGAGGGGCCACTTCACGTTTATGTAGTTAGAAAGGCCCTTCAGATTCATGCAATTTAAGACCAAGAACTTTAAAATCGATGGCATAGTTTTCGAGATATTGAGCTGTTAAGAGTTATGTGGGCCACCCTGTATATTGTTTACGTGTTTACTTTATTCAAGTTTAATATCCTTCTTACGTTAATTCATAGTAGGAATCGCAGAATTTCGGTGTTGGTATCAATCGTGTCGGAGATTTACGACCATCGTTGACTATCATAGTCTCACCGTGAGTTCGCGCGTAAACAATAGCAACGTTCAGACAGATTGGAAAGTACAAGAAATTTCTCGTTCACTCTGACTAGATAAACGTTCACTTAATCACATGACAGTAGTAACAGAAATTTGTTAACTTACATATAAAGGGTTATCAGTTAATAAAATCATGCTTATCAATTAATCGGAACTGTGAAGACCATTATGTGCGTGCGTGACTGCATGATACGCGTTAATTGCGGTGGAGTGCGACGTCCACTGATACAATGGTGCAGCACACAGAGGGGAAATTCACAAACGCTACCTTCACGCAGCCGCAGCTACGTTTTAATCATTTATTTGTCCAGCCAGTACGCAAGCATCGAAGCTTTTGTGCGGTGAAAATAAACGGGGTACGATTTATTTATAAATTCAATTTGTATTTCTTCCTCTCTCCTGTCTCTCTATCTCTTTGTGGTCGTGGATATCAATATCTTGCAACGAGCAAATGTGCCCGATTGGATTCCATCTATCAGCGTGTGATGTCGTCGAGTTTTAGATTTTACTACACATTTATGAAAGTAGATATAATTTCGATGATTTTGTAACAATTTTATCAGACTGGTGTAATGTTGTTGATCTTCGGTTCCTGACTGTGTCATCCCCTGTGTGGGACTAGTAGTTAAAGGGATTGGAATTGGAGGGGTGGACGTTAAGGTATGCGAATGGGCTAAGGGACTTGAAAAAGAGCTGCCTGGGGAAATCGGGATATCGTGGGAAACCATCTTGGCGACTCCCGGAATTTGGGTGAAAGTGTTCCAACGGACGATCGACTTCTTGAGACGATCCATTATCGCCAGGTCACTACATGGAAAACTCATTCGCATATCGGAGGGTTGGTTGACGACTGTCGAGACAGTCAGAACAACATACCGAATACATATTCACCGGACATGTCATTTAACAGCGACAAATCACGGCCCATAGCACCCTATACGCGTTTATTTATTCCTCTATCTGCAGAGATTTATACAGGGTGTCCCAACATAGCTTCGATCCCGTAAATTAGGGGATTCTGGAACGATTTGAAAAAACTTTTTCCTTAGCGAAAATGTTTGGTTAACAAGAAAGGGTGGTATGTGTTCTTCATAATTTTGATAATCACTAGTTCACAGTCATTTGGTGATCGAGACTCCATTATGAAATTCTTATGTAAGGTGAAACCCTAAATTCAAAAATCGACATGAGACAAAATCCTAATGATACGTTTTTCAGATATCGTCCGATGAATATATTGGTACTCTTTTAAAAAGACGACCCGACATTTTTGGCCATATCTCGCGTTAGAGTTGACCGACTGGTCTTTTCAAAAAAAGTACCAAAATATTCATCGGACGATATTTCAAAAACGTATCCTTAGGATTTCGTCTCATGTCGATTTTTGAGTTTAGGGGACCACCTTACATAACAATTTCATAGTGGAGTCTCGATCACATATAATTTTTTGGATTTTGTAAACTAGTGTAACATACATATGTCAAGGTCAAGTTTCCCCGAATGTCTTTAATTGTTAACAATAGACACTTCTTCCACCTATCTGTGTAAATTATATGTGTAGAATTATAACACTATACATATACATATGTATAAGTATGAGTGGTACGAGTGGTAATTGACCGATTGATAAATTGCAAATATTTTTAAATCACTGTATCCAAAACATCTGTAAATGGAAAACAGGAAAAAAGTACAACTCAGCGTTAAGTAATGGCGGTTGGGTAGTAATTTATTACAAACAGTTCAATACGATTGTCCTGTATATCGTTTGGGGTATTCTTCGGAACCCCATTAACGAACCTTTTATTTCCGTATATGCCATGTTGAGGTACACTGCGAAAGCATAGGATGGTCATTCGATTTACGCATCGAAATTAAGCCACGCTCGGGTTGTGGTGATCGTTCAGTGAACGACTGTTTTTTAACTCTAGTTTCAATCCAACCCAGCCCAGCGCGAGACACCAGTGTGATCGGTAGGAAGGACGAACTACGAAACCTGTGCAAGGTAATGTTGGAAACAGACGAATTCCGGGGTGTGTAGCCTGGTGGAAGTGTGGGACAGGATAAACGAGGCAGATTCAGATTGATGCAGGATGCAAAGAGCCGCTTTCGAATGAACACGCTACTGCCGGACAAAGGGATACTGGGCGAAGAAAAATTTTCCTGTTAATGATTGTAGATTATCCTGAAATACACAATCTAGCAACGGCACCCGCTGCCGAACTCAATTCGGATTTAGAGTAATATGTTCTTTTCTTGATAACTGATTGATAAGTAATTGAATCGACGTTTTTATGAGAGTTTCGTAGAAAATAACGTTTTCAACCTTGTCTTACTTATTCTAGGAAGAAGTTATTCGACTTAATTTAAATAATGGTAATAAAATTTTACTATTTGTGTAAAATGTGCGAATAACATTTCAAAATACATGTAAGAAAAAGTTAGGTGGTTAGGAGCATTACAGGATATTTTCTAAGTTATCAGACATATTAGAAATATTTAATTTTTGTTATTAAATTCGACAGGAATTTTTAACATTTTCTCTGTGTATTAGTTGATTTTTTGAAATATGTTTACTTTCACATAAATCTGGATCAAAGTGGCTGTTATCTTGTACCAACGTACTATATTTTTTTGATAGTTTGTCAATGGATTGTGCATAAAAATTCAATATTTTGCCATTAAAACATGGATAGAAGAAACGATAAATGTTTCGATCAAACCAAATAAATCAATGCAAACAAGTCATTCCACGGATATCAATACAACTAAACAGTTCAAATACACGTCGTATATAAATCTATTGCTATTGGGAAAAAGTCAGAGACCGTAAAACTTCCGGAATCACATATCCTTTCATTCCGAATTGATTTCACTTTAATCCATACCGAAAACGATTTTACAAATACAAAGAATTCTCGGTGGAACGAGTGCATGGTCAATTTGGAAACAGATTGTGGAGTAAATAACACGCTTTCGAATAGGTGAAGTACTCTATTCTATTCGAACTGTGGTCACTTTTTTAATAACCATTTTAATAATAATTCAATTTCAATATTTGTCTTTTGTATCTTGATTACAACTTATGGATGAAATAGTAAACAAGAACGCCTAAATAGCGACCAAAACGCTATTTTCTTTTTTTTTTTTGAGCGACATTTTATGCGGTTACCAAGTGGAGAGGAACAATATCCTTTTAAAGGCATCGCGATTCATGCCAGGAGGCGGTACTGGATAACTTTTGACTCACTGAAATCGCTTATTCAGACATTATTTTCACAGGATTTGACTGGATCGTCTTCCGAAAACAGTTAACACAGAAGAAGAGTTACCATAATTATATTTAGCCTAATTGGAATAGTAAATAAATAAAATTAAGGGGATTGTGAAGAACATAACATTATAATTGTAACAATACATAATCGAAACAATGAATAATAAATTTATTTATTTCTGGTTAACTTTCACAGTTCCACCGGATATTGTGGATTACGAAACCAGCACAGACATGGTGGTGCGAGAAGGTAGCAATGTAACTTTACGTTGTGCTGCAACAGGATCACCGAAACCTACCATCGTTTGGCGACGTGAGGATGGCCAGCCAATATTTCTGGGCAAAAGGGAAAATGGTAAATCCTAACCCGCATGAAAATTTACATTTACTCCGCCATTGATTTATTATATACTAAATTCTAAAATTAATCAAATTCGTCTTAATAACGTTTTTGTTATCAATTATGTGTATGTTAGAAATATTAGTCCGAGGCCGTTTTTTAATTAATAATTAATAAAAGTGGGGTGAGGGATGTTTTTATTTAAACAAAGAATTTTTATCAATTTAATTGCATCGTTTTATAGAGCATAAAAAACCATTTTTATTCTAACCATTTTTTTATGTCTACGATAGTTTTAAAGGTATACAGGGAAATATTATGACACCTATCTACCTTGAAGGGATGTTTTCACCCTGAAGAACTGAAATTGGGCCAAAAACAAACATTGCGCTATATTTCTCTTGAGGTCCCCTATAAACCTACAAAGTTTAAAAAAAATCGGAATTTTCGGGTTACCGAACTTCCCATCTAAGATGAAATCGGCGAATACAGAAATTGCGTTCGAGGCTTCATTTCGAAATTATTAATTATTATTACAAATATGGGCGAAACACACGTAAATAATATTTGAATATTTTTATCCCACGGTCGAAAGGCGACGTAGCCCTCTTGTAACGTCGGCTTTGACATTGTTGCGTAGCTTGAGGATATATTATACATATGTATACACCAGAGTTGGGCAGAATTTTATTCGAATAATACACAGTGAAAAGCAGCAGTATCTAAGGGTGGCGTGCTGAGCTTTAAACAATTAATCAGATTAGATAATTGTTCGAAAAATGTCGATTTATTCATAAAGAAGTATTATTTTATTATAAAAATTGAAATTTCCACGTTGAAACAATTAAAAATGACGAAATATTTTTTTATCTTTTATTCGTTATTCGAAACTTTTTATCTAGATAATGAGTTTGTCCATCTCTGGTATACACATAGGCGTGTAAGGTGGAACTTCTAAGTAATATAAACCAGTATATTGTAGGACAATCGTAGTAGTATAAGTACCGTTAGATCAGACCAATAGAGCCACGTTTGTATCAGGCTATCAGGGAAATAATTTTGTTTTCTAGGGATTAATTGGGATTAATTTTGTTTTCATTTCTAGTCGTTTATTGATATTATTTTTTGTGGTTTTTAAAAACCAACAATATGCATTGTCATATCCAATAGTAGTATGTCTCATCGGAAAATGGGCAGACTATAAGGGTTTTAAGATGAAACAAAAATTTAAAGAAATTTGGTATACTGAGACATGATTTTGATTACATTCTGAAACAAATTATAGCTGGAAATTCCGACGCAATTTTCATCGTATTCGAGATAGCAGTACCAGAAAATATACTGACGGTGAAAAAGTTGTTTGAGCCCAGTTCAAAAACTGCACTCTCGTATACCAAACTGTCAGAAACTGTAACTTCATTGAAACTTTCGGGGAAAAATATAAAAAAAGCATTCAGGAAGCTTCAACGAGCAATACCAGAGTATACTGTACATGAAATCTGTTTATATCGGAAATGTTCAATATACACGATAATTTCAGGAAATAATAATGTTTAGCATGTATTCGTAACTTTTTTTTTCACAGTACTTTTACACTTTTTGTTCAGAAACAATAAAAATGCTACAATTATAGAAGATTGGAGGGTATAATACAGGGTGATTCTTATAAAGTGACCGATTGAGTTTTCTCCCTGATATAGTTAGATATATTCCTACCCTAGGCCGGTAATAAACTGAATAATATTAGCAAAAATTGGTACGTTTTTGACGTATTTTTCACTTTGATCATTATTTAAACATATTTAGATGTCTGTAATAAAATAACAATTTACATCGTTTTGATCGGGAGAGCCCAGAGAATTATTTCGTATAAAAAATAACTAAATAACTGTACTATAAAAACACAACACAGCTCGAAAGTTGAAAATTTGAAATTTTTTTTGTAAATCGATTTCTTCACAAACTGAACGTGCTGGGGAAAAACGGGTTGCAGATTCGTATTCAGCTTATAAAGATTTATCAAAAAAGTCTATTAACGGTTATGAGGTAGGAAAAAAAATTAAAATTTGTTCAACAGTGTAATTCGTGCATTTCAATTTTCAAATTTGTGTTGCAGTTACAGCTGTCGATGGACCAAATTTTAATATCACTAAAGTGAGTCGAGTGCATATGGGAGCATACCTTTGCATTGCATCCAATCAAGTTCCACCGTCAGTTAGTAAACGAATTATGCTGATTGTTCATTGTGAGTATTATTTCGCATCCGTCATGCATCTATTCTTGTCATACTGATGTTTTTTTATATACAGGGTGTCCCAAAAATGTTTTAACCCCTTGAAAGGGGTGTGTCCTCGGATAATTTGAAACAGCTTCTTTTTACCAAAAATATTCTCCGAAACATTGTTGACGAAATATTAACGAAAACCCCAACCAATCAGAGCGCGAGTCTGCCAATCGAGCACCCGCGATAGCGTTGGCTACTGAAGTGAATACATATATGTTGCGACACTTTTGACAATAATCATTTTCAAAGAAAATCGCCCAACCCTCGCAAATATCGCCCAAACTATTCGTTATTCCAAAAAATATTGAAAGCAGAACTTACTTTGTTTCGTGGAGGTCATCTTATGATATTCACAAATCTTATCTAGGTGGACATATTTTGTTTTTTTAAACAGACCTCCATGTTTTTGGTTGAAGCAGACCTGTAGCCTATTCCGTGACAAATTAATTGAAATATGTTGATCTTCCAAGGTTATTTATTACCGTCCAAAACTTACACAAATAGTAGAGATCTTGGTAAGATGGTGATGCTAAACGAAAATAAGTGTAAGATTTTATTTCTAATACCAAAGAAATAATATTTTCGCATAACAATCTTACATGTTTTAGTAACAAAAATATATATGTATTTAAAGAACAAAATTGTATACTTATCTTTAGTATAAAATAAAAAACTAATTTTTTTAGCAAATTCAGCATCTTACCAGATTATTGTGTAAGGTGGTTATATAAGTTTAATGAATATAATTTTTACATGTGAAGAACCCAGCCTTTCGATATTTAATGCAAGATTCATGCCACCAGCTTGGGCATAGCTGAAGCATTAACGCAAAATTACCCTTCTTTCATATGGTGTATTGCAGACAATAATGGATCCTGCGCCCCAACTCGTCCATTTAATAACTTTTGTCTTTAATTGTTATATTTTTCTATATAGCTATCATGAAATCTTTTACCCTATTTCTTAATATAATCTGTTCAGAATTTTTAAAGTAATACACAAGAACGAAATTAGCACACAATAGTTAAATGTGTATTTTCTACATGTTATGTGAGGCGAAAATTTTTGCCGGTTTTTCCAGTTCCGCCCGTAATTTTGGTACCAAATCAGTTAGTTGGTGTTCAGGAAGGACAACAACTGACTTTGGAATGCCACTCGGAAGCTTACCCCGAATCCATTAATTATTGGACAAAGGATAAACATGAAATCGTTCCACAAGGTACGTTAAAACAATGTTTTACTCTTTAACCTAGCCTCGTTTCCACGTGTATAAAAACACATACACATATAAAAACATTCGAACGACGATATATTTCTAAACAAACTGTACATAAACTGCATACTGCCGTAGAGATCTTGGAAACATTATATATATTTTTTCAAAGTTAATAGTAGTAGTGGTTTATTTACAAATTTCTTTTACAATAAAAATTTTACAATAGTTATTCTTAAACATATACCGTCTTATCCCGTACGCTTTACTCACGTCAAAAGTCTGCGGGAGAGAGAACGCTTCTTTAATGAAATTACATCAACTAAACTGAATAGAATTAACACGGCGTGTGATATACATGTCTGTACATACAAGGGAACATATCGAATTCAAACACGCCTATTTTTATGCCCTCTATATGGGATATAGTTTGCGAAAAAATATTTGACACGCATTTTTTTATATCGGCCATCCTCCATATTGAAGGGGTGAAAACAGCCCTCAAAGTTGAGGTTTTAAAACATATTTTTTGGAAGATCCCGGGAACCAGAGGGTATAGATACAATTTTTTTTTGTAAATGATATGTTTTTTAAAGGGGAATGTGATCATCTAAACGTTTTCTTTTTAAATTTATTTTTTTAATATATTATGTAAACGAATAAATCTAAAAAAACGTTTAGATGATTACATTCTCTATTAAAAAATAACACAATTTACAAACAAAATTTTAATCTATACCCTCTACTTCCCGCGATATTCCCAAAAATGTTTTAAACTTTTGAGAGCTGTTTTCACCCCTTCAATATGGACGATGGCCGATATAAAAAAATACGTGTCAAATATTTTTTCGCAAACTATATCCCATATAGAGAGCATCAAAATCGGCGTGTCTGGGTTTCATATGTTCCCTTGTTAGCTTAACTCTAACTTATATGTATCTCTACTGATTCTATGTCTTATCCTAAAATACCAATCCTCACTTGGGACTCACGTGTCTGCTTTTTCAACCCTTCTTTCTCGCTTTCATACCCTTACACACTCCTTCCAATTCCCCTGCCCTCGCGTCGTTGAATTGTTTTAGCGGTTGCCCCCCCCCCCTCTACCCCTCCAGAATTTTCTCCACCGCCACCGGCCAACATCCACCCTTCCCCTTCCTTCTCCATATTTTTATTCCACACATGCTCCGAAGTCTCTTCCTCCAATCCACAACTTTCATCGTTTTGTCTAAAATCCGAAAGCATCGAATAGTTAATTATGACGTCTTTTGGTAAGTGAAATTCTTGCAACAAAGAATTTTAATCGATTTTAAGCTGATTTAAGGACATTTCGAACATTATTCAAGTCGCAGTCATACTGTCCTTTCATTATTTCGTTTTGCATCCACGTTACTACCTTCTATTCGCGGAAGATAGCACAATCGAATTGGAGGACGGAAACGCCTCTGAATGGTGTCGATCTAAACAGAAATCACGTTAACTTAAACTGATGTGAGACGAATACCAAAATAAGCCAGACTTGGGGGCAAGCTAGACTATCTTTCACACTGATTGAACTATTGTGACATTCCTTCAAAGCCCGTTGAAATTCTTGGGGTCGTTTTGCACACTATACGATCGTTTCTATTCGAAAAGCCCAATAAAAGCGCTGTATACTATATGTCCAATCGATCAACTGAGTTTACTACATAGTACCACCCGTTTCGTTCCTGTTACATACAATCCTTCAAAGCTAACGTATTTGATCAACCGGAAAGTATAGTTGCCTTATATGCCCCTTATTTCATGACTTGTCTGTTAAGATACACTGAATTTAATATTAATCGCGAAGAAAATGGTTATTATTTCGTGTGAAATGATATTTCACTTCCAAAATACTTTCTAATATCTTTTCTGCTATTTAAGCTAGATCCGTAATATTTAATATTTCCAATTAGTATTCGTTCAATCCATTATAATTATATTATTTCGATAATTAACTTATACATTTAGAAATTATTTGTTATACAATGATTTAATAACTTTATGTGATTATTCTGTGATTATTCAGATAATAAATTATAATATTCGATCAAAAATGATTTTCCAATAGTAATGTAATTACTTATTCGAGACAATAAATATTTTGTTTCAGAGTTATTTTGTTCCCTAATTTTTAATAATATTTTTCCTAACTTATCTATTAATTAAATAATCATTTTAAACAAAGGAACAATTAGTTTCGATACTTTCAAAATTAATTCTCAGTCCAATATTAAATATTATTAACGTATTGTTAACGTAATTTTCTTTATATAAATGTAACTACAAGTTCGTTCATTTCGTTTGAATACCAGAAAAATTATGTCTAAAGAACTGTATGGCCAAACCATACAAAGAAGGGCTATCATATTATTACTCTTTAGGACTTATGAACTTCGCCGCTTTAGTTAATAATGTTGATCTCTGTTCGAGGTCATCTCAAGGTCATAACTCGGGCATACTTGAATGCATTTTTTTGATCTGCTACAGAATACAGCAGAGAAAAATATGTCCTCCTGCAAAAAACACAAATGACAATAGAAAAATTCAAGGAAAAGGCTCTTTTGAAACCATTTAAATTGTGCTTTAAATAATTTTCATACCATTGAAAAGAAAGAAAATATTCAGGTGGCCCCCTTCAGCTGAAACACCCTGTATTTGTCGCAAAACCGTCTTGAAATTGTAATAATATTTTTCAGGAGGGAAGTACGAACCCATACGAAGGGAGAACGCATACACAGTTTACATGAAGCTAACTATAAATTCCGTCGGCCCATCGGATTTTGGATCATATAAATGTGTTTCCATGAACTCATTAGGGGACACAGATGGCAGCATCAAAGTTTACCGTAAGTACTGAATACGTAATACATTTAACTACTACAGTGGTGAGTAGGACATCGTTTTCCCTCTCCACTCCTTTGTAGTATGCCGCCACAAGCCGTCAGGCTCGCTGGCCGAGTTATACATGTAACTAAAAATAGTCCAATTTATATGGCTCATTTTCACTACGAAAATCTCATCGAACCATTAAACACGTTTTCATTAAGAAAAACACGAAAATAATAAGAATTTCATTTTTTATACACTAGTCAGACTACTTTGTTGAAACCGCTCAACCAGGAAGAACGACCCATGTTTTGCATTCTAACTCATTTGCAATGTCCATCTCGATCAGCGACCGAGCTCAGCGATTCGAACGGTTAAGAAAGTACAAAATGCGAAATGACACGTTGGTTTTGTTTAATGCAATCTTGGGCAATCGAAAAGTCCGAGGAACGCGAATTGGGGTTTGAATTGTCTAGTCCAGAGGTCGGGAAACTTCTGAGACGGAAGAGCCAAACCTGTCCCCTACAACAATTTAAAAATTATTTCAGAGCTATAAATATATTTTTATAAATAAGGAAAATTTAAAGTAACATTATAACAAGTTCTAATATTAATTATATCTTTATTAAATGAAGAAGGAATCTTAGAAAAATTGCTCTCATTGATTGTATTTTCATTTTTAGTTGTACTTCAGAGTCACCTGTAAGTAGGTACCCAAAGAGCCACATTTGGCTCGCGAACAGCAGTTTCCGACCCCTGGTTTAGTCCCTCCTGTTGTAGGTTCCTAGAAATAAGAAGGCATTTAAACATTTGCGGCTGCCTTGACAGTCAGTTCCTCTTTCTCTTTCACTTTCTGTCCTTTTCTACGGGCGTCAGTGCCGGCAAAATACAAAGGCCAGCTGCCGAGGCTCGGCTCCAAGTTTACGAGGGGTTAAAATCGTGATCGTACGTCCTTACTGCTCGCATACGATCCCGAGTTTCGAGCAGTAAAGAAAAGTTTACTGCAGTACGGACCAAAATATAGCAAGGTCGTAAAATCGGTAGCACATCAAAGTAAACACGTTGCGGTCGCCGAACCAGCAGAAAATGACCCTGAAAACTCGGGCAGGGCCGTAAGACGGAAAACTTAATACCGAGTCAATGTACTTTGTATAAAACATCAACTCGAGCTATACAGAGACATAATTTCGTGTTGTGCGTCACACTTGATGCTTCCCTTATTATTATTATGGCCACAGTCACGGTTTAGGTTGTTCCACAATATATTGAAACAAACATTCTCGTCCAGATTCTACGTTCATTTCTCGTTCCAGTTCTTAATGGTTTGTATTAAGAGTTATATAATTTGTATTATACAGTTTGTATTATTATTACAGAGCATGAGTATTCATTTCCAACGACTAAACATTTGAATTTTGAATTGACTAAAGTAAAACCATAAATAAATCGATTAAACATTTCGGTAAAAGTTACGTTTAAGGGATGCAGCTCCGATAACCTTGACCTTGGCATATGTGTTGAATGCTACAACAGAATGCAGGACACCTACGTCCCTAGGTTCGGCGACATTAGTGGATGCCGCCGCTCAGTCTTTCAGTTTACGATCTCGCTATATCTTGGTGCGTACTGTACAATTAGTCTGTTTTCGGTTATCAAAACAGAACTGTTGTATGCCGAATTCGTCTTGAAATCGTCTAACAGATAAGCGTAAAAAAATTATAGGTGTATTTGCAAAAAATTAAAGGTGACCTTGAAAAATCATGAAAAAGAAGAGTTGACAACAAATTTACTATAATCACGTTAAAGCTCTCTTGAAACCATGGTATACCTGATAAAAACATTTGCGATCAGATTGCTAATAACAGAGTAATTTCTACTGATCACGATTCGTGGTTCACCCTGTATATTATACTAAGATGGCGACACAGCGAGCGCGTACCGCGCAGCTCGCCGCGAATTCGGTAATTCTCAGGCCGAATTGGGCCAGCGTCGCAGGCTTATTATTATAATCTGTTAAAATTAAATATTATTATAATTATTATTAATGAAATATTATTTATAATCTGTTATTTATTTGAAATCATTGAAGGCGCTCCTTGCCTTCATTCAGTATATCATGGTTATAATCCATTCTTATTAATATGATATTACTATAATTGTTATTAACGAATTTAGATTCGAAATTTTACATTATACGTACGTAAAAGTTTGCCCGTAGAATCTAAGTTTGAGTAACAAACACTTCTGAAATATGTGTTCTCATCTGTTTCAGCGATAACATCAAGCTCAAATTCCAGTTCTAGCAACACAAGACATAAAGGTGAGGTATAATTCCTGGATGTATGTTACTTTCATTTAAAACGTGCAATTTTTATGTAAATGTAAGTATAGGGAAGTAAAGATACGGAACATTTTACTTACGATAGCTAGATGTGTATCAAAGGTGCCATAATATGTCAGTGATAATTTTTCTGTACATGAAAACGTATCAAAAATTTATATGTTACCACTATTTTTTTTTAAATGGTACGCTGTACTTTGTTACACTAAATACAACGGCGAATATTTAGACGATTTGAATAACCTGTTAAATTATGGCTTGTTAGAATCTTCCGAACATTAACTAGTGCGCAAAAGGTAAAAATGTATAATGTATCATTTTAAAAAATAGAGGTGATCTTAAAATACACTTTTTTCATACAATCTTCAATAACAAAAACATAGCGGGTGAACAAAGTTACTATCTCGTCCTAGACATGAAATTGGATTTATCATTTAATTAAAAAATAAAAACATTTACGGTAATGCAAAATTTGTTTACCCTTCTTTCATATACTTACATATAAGTTAAACAATATTTCTGTTACTTGTCTTTTTTGGTTTAATCATTTTTAATTCTATTTTCTTTTAAATTTATTTTTTTTTGTATTACAGGAAAATTGCGGCATAATTCAAGTAACGACGTTTTCGACGGAAATCAAGATATGCTGAAAGAGCGTGGTAGGTATAACTCTATCGAGAGAATTCGCGATCTCCAACACGCAAACGTAAACAGAGATAATATTTGCCTGACAACATTTTTATGGCACCATGTTACGTGTTGTAGGTCTAAGACAATAATTTTCTGGCGCTATAAAAAAAGCTTTTCAGAAATGTTCATAATTGGCCAAAGTGTGATCGTGAATTTTATCAGAATGTAATTGACTGGTAGCTGATTGCTTACGAATACCTTAATTTTTAATGATAGGTATGTGAACAGTCCAAACATGTTTGGACCTTTCTGTGTACGACTAATTTAAACAGTCCAAACAGAGTTGGTTCGTGGCAAGGCAACCAAACTCTGACAAAACTTTTGAAACACTTTTGAGTCTGCAGTCTTCTCCCTCTTCTATTTCTTCCTTGCTTCTGCTCCTCCTGTTTTTTGCTTACTGTATTTTTCGTGTTGTTTAATTGATAGGTGGTCTGATGTTCCTGTTTCCGTAACTAATACCAAAGAATACTGAAAAATGTATTATTGTCTTGAAAATCTCGTACCGTTCAGGGGATCAACTTCAGTTAAACTTTTGCAGTAATTAGTAATAGATTGTGCGGTATAGCTGAGAGTGAAAAATACTTATCAGTAATACATGAAAAAATATATCTAAAATTAATTACCTATGTCTTAAATTCATTTTAAATTATTTGGAAATTATAATGTTTAATTTACGGTACAATCTATTCTAACATTATTTACGAATTTGTTCGTAAAGGAATAGTTAGTTCCCACTAAAAAGAATCAGATGTGGCTTTGAAATGTTGAAAAATTACAAATTATAGCACATTGGAACACGCAATATTACTTTGAAGGAATTTCCACTGAAATCAATATTGACGAAATTGTGGAAGTGCTTCCAGTCGCATGCTTCAGTCCATGTATACCTATGTCCCCTTTGAACGTAGTAATATTAATGCAGTTTCCTTTTTCAGATTTGAAATTTCGAGGTCGCAAAGGAACCAATGGGAACGAAGCCGACGATTACGACGATTCTGGAGTAATGACGATAGAGAACTCTTTAACGCTGATTTTTTTTTTAGTCACCTATACTATTTACCTCCAGCACCATCCGCAGTTAAGAACTCTCCATCCGGCTTGAAAAACGGCCGTCGTCGCGTTAGCACTTCATCACATTCTCCATTCGATCGCAACCCATCGAAAATTTGTAAATCCATTTAGAAATCCATCGCTCAGGGACTACATACGAGGATATAATTCATGAATTGCGCTGACCACTTACACTGTGGTATAAGATGACATTATAACGTGTAATGATAGTAGCTATTGAAAATTATTCATAAACAGTAATTCGGTAGCTCGAGAGTAGAACGTTATTCCTTGCCCTGGAATTAACGGGTAATGTGTAGTGTGAATAATAAAACGTACAAGAGGATGCTGATAACACTGTTCAACACCTGAAAATTTGTGTACTTTTCAGTTAGTGTTTCTGATAGACCTTTATGAGCTAAATACGAATCTGCAAACCGTTTCTTCCCAGTACGTCCAATTTTGGAAAAAATCGATTTTAAAGAAAATTGCAAATTTTCAAATTTGGTACTGTATTGTGCTTTTACAGTAATAGTTATTCAGTTTCTTTTCACACGAAATAATTCTCTGGACTCTTCCGAAGAAAATGATATAAATTATTATTATATTATAGACATCTAAATACGTTTAAATAATGTTTAATGTGGAAAGAACACTGAATATCTATTACTGTAAAAGCACAACACAGTTCCCAAGTTGAAAATTTGCAACTTTTTTTTAAATTGATTTTTTCAATAACTGGACACGCTGGAAAGAAACGATTTGCAGATTCGTATTTAGCTCGTAAAGGTCTATCAGAAACGCTTATTAGAGATTACAAAAACGAAAAAAAGTTCAAAGTTGTTGAACAGTGTAATTGGGTTTGTAAACATGCACGACGAGTACAGTGAGCCTTGGTCATGCTTAATTACGATTAACGATCGTACTCGAAGCTAGTCAGTATCGTGCAGTTATTTACGTTAAACTAGTTAAGTAGTAGTATATGTATATTTGTACTGTACGTTGCTTTTTTGCAATAGCAACAGAATTTCCGATTTAATATGCGGAACGTAGAAAATTCTGTTTTACAACGACTCACAACAATTTCAAAAATAATTAATCGATGATCATTGCTCATGTTGTAAGTATCAAGATATAATGAATTTTGTGTGATACACAAACTCATAATTATTTAAAACCACTGCAGCGACGAGTATGTGAGATCATTTCTGTCAATTAAGTAAGTTATTATCATTATCTTTCTATGATATAGGAAGGTGCTATATAAAGAAGTTGACAAAAGACACGAGGACATTAATCTTATATAAAGAATCATAACAAAACACTGTTACCCACAGCTTTTCTGAACATTTTTCCATGAAATGTGTTTGTGAATGAAAAGTACATACATCCTTTTAATTCATAAGTCCTTACGAAGAGCCATAATTGTATAAAAACACAATCGCAATATGTATTTATTCATATTTATACATAGATTTCATTTTATGTATCGTGCGATCCGTATAAAGTGTTGCAAGCTGTTGTCTTAAAACATATTACGGATAATTGGATTTATAATGCGCTGAATTATAACAGCTTTCAAAAGCGTGCAAAATTCATAAATTTCAAAATTATATTATTTGTATATGACTCACACTGTATATGAACGAGCCTAAATGTTTAAATTCAAGAATTGTAAGTAACAATAATTTTTTCCGAAGTAACGACTGGCACGAATAATCAGTGCTCAAAAACAAAATCCATTTATGTTTTCATTGACACATCAGGGAAATCATTAACGTGTAGAAATATAACTGAAGTCGATGAACCTCGGTGGAAGCCGCCAATGAATCACATTTGTACCAATGTTTATTAAACAGAGTAATTACGAATACATACATCACTGTACATATACATATATACTCGATATATTTATGCTACATACCGTTATACATATGTATATGAAATACAATAATATGTTTTGTGTACTTGTGTAGCATATCACGCGCACGTGTGTGTATATACATATAATAACATACTATACATACATAGCATACTAGAATATTATTATTCAAAGATTCAGAGTATCGTTCTAATGATCTTGAATTGCGTTAGATAATGGATGGCTGAAGCAAATCTTTGAATGTTCCAGGGGCCAAGGAAATCATGCATCAATTCAAAGGTGAAAATTGAAACTTAATTTTTGTCGTCATATAATACGGTTAAATATTTACAAGAAATTTTCTTTTTAATTCAATTACTAGATAATAATTTGTACATTAACACTTGATTGCGGATTCCTACCACGTTTCATGATTGTGTATTAGATTGTAATAATAATGCCATTGGAAGTGTAGAACCTGCAAATAAATTATATAAATAAGTTATTTATAAGTAGAAACTTTATCGAAACCAAATTTGAATATTTTGTATTTTATACACTTATCTGACATTCAATATTTTGTTTTTCAATTCATTATTTTATGTGCTCACAAATTTGTAAATTGAAGTTAACTCTCAGATGTGTTAATAGTAAATTATAACATTTAATTTTTAATTTACATAACTCAATTGTATTGAGCATTTTACAGTTTGTGGGGTAAAGTTCTTGGAATTGTCGAAATACAAGTTATACTTAATTTGTATAACTCCTTACTTTATTAGAAAGTTCATACAGCGCCACCAACAAATTAGGCTCCCTAATTGTGCATAGCAATTTGATAGTAGCGAATGTTTTTATTTTCTTTTGTATCTTCACTACAGATAGCTTATCAATGAAAATCGTGCAACATGAAAAATCTTCCATTGACTTGTATTAATAAAATTAAGTACATGATACTGCAATTTATTATTTAATTAAAGAAACTAAACGCTTTTATCAGAAATTTCAGTACATGAAACTGATAAATGTGTGATTTTAAACCGAACATTTTCTATATATTAACTTTGTCTCACAGTAGTTTTATTTTCTTTTAAGACGAAATTTTATATAATTAATGTAAGGATATATGTAGCATTTGTATAAATCGTGCTTTCGAAAAGTCTTTGTGAACTGTAGTATCAATTACTTCACATTTTGTGGAACTGTCATCGAAATACTTAAAGGGCAATAAAACAGATTATATGCTCGTACTGAATAATATTAGTGGTAATATCACGTGATCACAGAGCGGAATAGAGAGATTGCTTGTAATTTTACGTATAACAGAATGTTCTAATTTGAGATCAGCTGCTGTGCACCCATTTTGCGACGATCATAAAAGAACTGCAGGAAAACGAAGATAAAATTTTTTATGATCTCAAGTCATAAAGCATATCTTAGGACACGAATTGTTTTTGAACCATGCGATGCATATGCACTGTTATAAAAGAACAATGTATCTACACTACTTATTAGTTAACATGTATAGAAAAATTATTTTACAACTCTGAAGGTGACACAAGGTTTAATGATATTCGAAAATCTTATGGTATAAAAACTACAATGCAATAATTTAGAAACTATTTCAAATAAGAATGCAGCAGATACACATGTATCACTTGAAAGTAACAATTGGACCATTTTATTTGTTCCGAAAATTTTAATGACACATCAAAATTCATTATTTTCAATTGCCAGGAAAAATATAAATAAAAACGAGACGAATTGTGAATATTTAAAGATTAGTTTAAACATACAGTATCGGACATAGTTATAAAAATTTGACCATAGTAATTATTTGAAGATCAATTTCTTTACAATTGTATTAATTAACGAAAGTAAGCTTCTACAGTCCACCTGACGTGATGTTTGGCAAATTTTAGGCAAGCACTAACATTCTTTTTCGAAATATAGGGTTCATATGTTACAATTGTCTCATGAAGCTTACCTTCGTTTAAACTTAAACGATGTGATCTTCACACAGCTTGAAATTTCGATGCAGTTAGGAATGGTTCTCTTCGTGTCCATACTCTCCGTTAATTAATACAGGAAACGCTAAAGAAATTAATCTTTAAATAATTTTTACACTTTAGTTATTATAGTTTTGTGATGTACTTTATGTAGGCACATACACATAGGTTCAATGATTAACAGAATGTTTCAGAACACGCATATTAACACATTTACCATTTTAATTTTCACTTATTATTATTATTATTGACTTGATTCCGATGTTGTCAGACGTTCGAGTAAATTGTTGCTATAATGTGCATAATTGTATGTACATAAAAGTAAGAGATTTTTTAAGTTCGAAAGAATATTGAATTCATATTTTAACTTCTTATAAATTCTCAGTCGTCTACATGTTTAAAAAGTAATAACAGACAGCAGACGTTCTTTATCAAACAAGATGAATTATTACACTAATGAACGTAGTAACAATCTACAATACTATAATCCAATATACATATTGTATTTAGTCTAAATTATTACAGTTATACACTTTATATTATTAACTACCAGCATATATTACACAGTATAAACCTTATTAATAACATGGTCGAATAAATATTATTTAATTAGCACAGGTGTATCGTACTGTTTGAGTGAAATGCTTGAAATAGGAAGTTTACGCTATAAAATTAATGTAATAAATAAATTTTTATGTACATACACACGTCCAACCAAACATATCAACTGACCGCGTTCTGTAAGGCCCGGTGTTCACAAGCGGCAAGGGATGATCCCAACACTTTCTTTTCCGTTCTGGTCCATTTTTATAATTAATGAAGTACATATACGAAAATAAATATCCTTGTACTAAAACTAATTGAATAAGAGTCACGACGTTTAATTTTTTAATTGTATCAAACGGATATTCGTTATTATTGATAATGAAATTATAAAATTTATTTCTGTCCATACGTTTATAACATTCATCAGAAATATTGCATTCCTTACTTTGGTCATCATCTGCTGCCCATGTATTTATCGTAAAAATAGTTCATAACAAGTATCAGCTTGCCCTAGTTTATTCGAAACGAATTCAGCGATTACTAATAATTAATGAATACATAAAAAAAAATGGTGCGCAGCTCATAATACATATATACGTTTGTAGTATTGGAATTGTACATACCATTCTAACCTATAGTGAATGATTGATGTAATTAATTGCGATGCGAAATTGTGATAGTTATAAGAAAATCGAAACATACAAAGGCGTGTAAGCAGAAATTTATCACACGAATACAAATGTGCAATGGTGTATAATGAGCATAGATGAATGAAATATAATACTTTGTAATATACGATAGACTGTATTGTCCCTGTTAACACTTTGCCGGCCGCTTATTTCTCGCATCGCCTTTACGCTGCCGCCGGCGATACGTTGACGCGTACGTGACCCTGGCCGATAAACGTTGGCGAGCAAAAGTCACGCCAGCATGACAGCGACCGGCAGACTGTTAAGTAGTGCGTGAATATAGATACGTTTCTGTCTAACAATAGGTCTAATACGGTAAGAATCTCACCTAACTTGATCACCTCGAACAATAACTTAACTGTGCACTTTATGAAAATTTTGATGGAACTGAAATGGCATCAATATATAGAACTGAATGGCACATCTTATAAGGTACGTGTTTTTTTTGTGAGTGGAAGCATTTCAGAGATTTCAAGGTCACCTTGATTTTTTTTAACGAAATGACCTATTTTTTGTACGATAGATTGATAGAGTATCAAATCCTAAGTAAAAACATGTTGACCTTGATACGTCCTAAACTTAATAATTAACGACATATTTACAAAATAATTTTTAATATGTACATACTTACTATCTGGAAGCTATAGGTGCTCTAACTGATGTCCCTCAACGTCAATACAGTGATTATTTTGTAAATATCTCGATAACTATTAAGTTTAGGACGTATGAAGGTCAACACATTTGTACTCGGAATTTGATACTCCATTAATCTATCGTACAAAAAATAGGTCATTCCGTTAAAAAAAATCGAGGTGACCTTGAAATCTCTGAAATGCCTCCACTGACAAAAAAAGCACGTACCTTATAAGATGTGCTTCTTGATGCCATTTCAGTTCCATCAATATTCTCATAAAGTGTACTGTTAAGTCAATATTCTACATTATATATGACACCCAAATATACATATAACTAAAACAGAACATTACACAATTAGCATTATAGAACATGTCCCGTCATCTTGAATGTTCGATTAAAGACAAATGAATTATTTGTACATTAGCGCTTGTTTGCATGCTGAATACGTTTATTCATCGAAGGACCTACACAATCAGAATGCCTGTCATAAAATTGCGCGATTGTTTTGTATGCGTGTGTGTGCGTGTGTGCGTGTTTGGAATGTAGTTGCGCCATAGGACGTGCTTGCAGCACGCAATCTAATTTTATAAGCACTATGGAGACTAGGAAATTGTCCCTTGTCCATGTATACGGGAAATACAACTTTGCCATGTATCATCGTCTTGAATTTATTCCACCTTAACCCTACGAACGAAATACTGGTGTTTCCAACAGCATTTTTTAATAACATATTGCAAAAAAATAATAATCAATGTGTAAACATTATGGGAACCTCTGGGTTACCATTTCCATCGTCACAAATTTAAAACACTTCGGAAGACCTTGGGTACCTTTTTCAAAAAGGGGATTTATAACCTGCGTCCGTTGTTTACATTAAGGTGGACTAAACAAGATAAGGTGTATTACAGGGTGTAACAAAAATGTTGGAGGACTCGGAAATGGGAAACTGGTGAGGTGATTTGAAACAAGTTTTTCCTTAGCAAAACTGTTATCCGAGGCTTGGTTAACGAGATATTGAAAAAAAACCCCGACCAATCAGAGCGTGAGTCTGCCGGCCGAGTTGCCGCGGTAACGTTAGCTACGCGCTGCGATTGGTAGCGCATAGCATGTGCTGCGATTACATCAGAAACAATTGAAATGGTACCGCATTCCTCGATTGCTCATTTTGGAAAGTGTATCGCCGCCAATGGAGACCATTTTGACCATTCGTCACATAAACAATAAGTTCGCATAACATCCCAACACTGTTTTAGACTTTGATCGGTTTTTTGGTGTTCAAGGTCACCTCAAAACTTCTCTTATAAGTACTTGTTAGACATACTTACCCGAATGCGATTTGACATCTGTTATGAAATGCAGTAGAAAAAACTACTAATGATTTTACAAGTTTAGACAAAAATTTCCCGTAATTAAATGCTACTTCCAAAGTATTCCTTCTTTGAAACTATTCAAATTGTGCTTTAAGTATTGTTTGTCTCGCTAAAAGTAAAGAAGAATTATTTAAGCTGAATTTATAAGAAATAAATTATACAATTTGAAACCTACGTGTCATATTGAATTGTTAACTTAAATGTTTCGAGTATTTACCTATTTTCAAAGAGAGAGGTCATCCGAGGAACATTATGAAAAACCTGTTATAAATGTTTAACTACAGAATTTCATGTACAAAGTGAAATAAAACTATTTGTATCAGGCATTTCAAAGAAATTAATTTAATTTTTGTGGAACATTATATAATATACATATTACACGTGCATGTAAATAGCTCGAAATAAATTTCTAATTTTCAAGTCAATAATATTTAATAAGCCATTTCATTTGCTTCGAATTGACATTTACCTAATTTCTTCCTATAAATAGTTTTATTTCAAGTTTAACGTTGTGATAGTTACTCTTCAATCGTAAACTTGAATATTTTCATTTTTATTCATTTAAGTTCTATATTTAATTTAAAATACAACAACAGTAATTTAAATTGCTTGTAAATAACATTCTTTGTGTGCCCTTTCATTACATCAATTTAGTGTACAAAATAATGCGAAAATATTTTTTTCTAAACATATTAATAAACGGAACACAATTTGGAGATATTAAGATGTAATATATATGCATAGAGTTTGTTTCACAAATCTTAGATTGTTTTTTGAATCACATTATATACATAGAACTACAAACTAGTACCACCATTGATAAGACCCGCTTTCGTGTCGGTGGGCATTTGTTTCTGAAAACAGTCATCTATAAATTGTGCCATTGACAAGTAGAGATGACCTTTAACTCCAGCTAATGAATGACTCACGTCTGGATAGACCTGTAAAAGGAAAATACATACAATTACAACGAATAGAGTATAAAGTAATTATCTTCGAAATCGATGAATTCAGATAATTGGTAACGATGTAAATCCTTGGGGAAATGTGTTTGTAATTATACTCTAACATCCTTGTAAAGCAAAATGTAATGTGTTCAAGGTGAAGAATAGTTACTGTAATTCGTTCTCCTCTACTTTAGATGATAATTCTTCAGAAAAATAATAGTTAATATAGTTCGCATGTAAATGTATGAATGTTTAATGTTGAGTACATATGCTGAAATTGTACATGAAACAATATGAACATAATATGCATATGAACTTTTATGTTTATTTTAACACCTAAAATCCACTTTGCATAAATGTTCCACGTTTTTATTAACACCCGGTGAAATTAAACGATGTATTCAACGAAGTAAGAATGTGAAGACAAGAAAAACAGTAATAATGAATAGGTATACCTGTTGTCGAAAAAGTATGCCCTTTCTAGCTAGATGCCGTGCAAGCGTCATTGATTGTTGGAACTGGACGTTGTCATCGGCAGTGCCGTGCACGAGGTAGAACATTTTATTTCGTAAATATTCCACTTTATCATACACATCTGATTCAGCATAGCCCTTGTAATTTGACACCACAGTTGGTAATCCCATATATCTTTCGGCATAAGCGGAATCTGTTTAAATAAATTAAACAAGTTTATACGATTTTACATATATTCGATCATTAATAAACGAAAGTTGGTCATGTAAATATTCATATTTCAACAATAATATAAATGTCAATATTATATCAATTGAACGACTAAATGAAGACAATTTACTGCCTCCTTAATCAAGTTATGAAACTTTGCAAATGTAAGTACCACAAATTCTTATTGTGTCTTACGAACATTATTACACGCTGTTAGAAGTTTTCCCACGCAACGGTGATTCCTAAAGAGCAAGATAAAATGACTGAGTGAAAAAACCTTGTAACAAATTAGCTGTACACATGTGTTACACATTTGACAGTAAGAATTAGTGTTCATTATATGGAATGGTATTTTAAAAATTACATTAAAAATAATGCACCTATTTTCACATAATGACATTTTTTACAATTTTAGGGCGTAGGATTATAGAATTCTTTACTGAGAGAGATTGTTAAAATTCCATGTGGAAAAATCAATCGCACGTTACTCCGGATTTAAAAGTATAATATTGAATACATACATGGTATGTCACTGCTACAATAAAAATATTTTAAAATATTGAATATATTTATTGAAACATTGAAACTTTTGCGTCATCCTACTATGGTACATAAAGGGAAACTATTATAATATTATAATATACCGTAAAGTCTCCAGGACACGATAGGCGCCACGCTTATACCACATTGAAATACATCTTGTTCAGGATATGCCAAAGCAAGAGCAGCCACAAAACCTCCATAGCTCCAACCCCATACGGCAACACGTCGTTTGTCCACAAAATGCAACGAATCTCGTAAATACCTATGAGTATTACAACCATACTGTTAATGAAACATATTCTAAAGTCTTTAGCATAATGTAACAGAAATCAGTCTACAATACCTGGCGAGTAATAACGATAACAACGAGACATTCATTTTGTATCTATGATCTAGAA